GAGTTTGAAGTTCTAGAAGGGAGAGAAAGACTTGAAAGAAATGAGCTCCAGTTAGATTTTAAACCCAAACCAATGAACTTACTGTGTAAACCACCTGGGAAAATAATTACCTGGCTTTTGTAGTTTTTTTTTTTCAGGTTGTTGGTACCTGAATATCTCTTAAATAGAAAAGGTTTTTGAGTTTTTTAAAAAGTTTTCTTTTATTTAAAGGGCCTCGGAACCTTTTGAAAGAGATAAAACGTCATTATATTCTTTGTTTTTATCACTAAGTAAAACACATTGCCTAATTAATAAGCTTTTTAGATTAAGGGTTATGAAAGTAGCTTAATCGATCTAATAAAATACAGTATAATATGTTTGTTTTCAAACTACAGTGTAAATTATCTGAAAAAAAAACCCCGCTGGTTATTGAATGTGATTTCTTCCTCCTAGATATTCAAAGTAAATGTATACATATTTGTCATAAGAACATATTCTAGTGAAAGAAGATGGACAGATGGGAACAATTCTGCTGTTCTATTAAAGGCAGCTTCCACTGAAATGGAGGAGTGATTATTTCAGAATTCTCGTGACTCGTATACGGAGTTGACAAGTATTTTAAAAGATTAAATTTTGTAATGTATTCAATTTTAAAATGTAGGTGTTAAATTATTTTGGCTTAAGTTTCTAATACACATTAAATATAATTTATATCTTGACTTTAATTTTAATTAAAATTTTAAATTCTTTATTGAAAAGAACTGTTTAAAAACATAAGAATCTTTTCAATTTTTTTATCTCTTGCATTGTGTTAATCTACATTTTGAAGAGAACATATTCACATTATGTACAGTTTGAACAAAACTATATGATTCCTTTCCAATCCTTCAGATCAATGTGAATTAATACATCAAATCATAGTCAAAACAGAGAATATTTGGGGGCTGAGAAAAGAAAAGTCTGTAGAGAAAACATTAAAAACTCCAAAGAAATAATTAATTTAACTTTTTAAAAAATGAAAACAATCAAAATTAAAAGACTTCTAGTAAACAAAATGGTATAACATATTTGAGCAGAACTCTATGAAATCTATATTTTTTATTAAAAAAATATGGATCAAAGCAATAACAATGAGTAAGGGAATTGTCTCATCAAATACAAAATTTTAATGGATCAAGTGATTTCTTTAATAAATGAGGATTATATTTGCTGATCAAAATACTGGGAATAAAAAAAGTATTAGCCATATCAAATTCCCAACTTAGAATTAACAAATGCAACTCTAACCTGCTCACTAAAGCAATTATCTGAAAAAAAAACAACAAATTAGATATGAAATCAACAAATTAGATATAAAAACAAAATTTAGGACCTTACTATGTTTATTAAAAAATTATCCTAGAAAATTATCATCACATCTTTCTGACAATAGAATATTTTCTTAAAAAATACAATTTGATTCAAATCATTCATTATAATTTTTCATTGAATGAGCATTCCAGAAAATTTTATTTGACATTACAATTATTTCAAATGAAAAACAAAGACAATAAAAATTGCCCTTTCTATTCTCAGTTCAAAGACAAAATATTTTGCTATTACTCTTATATGTTTCACAACCAATCTTCTTACATGAGTTTTGACCAGTGTAACATTTGCGACTGAAAACATTTATGTTGTTGATAACAAAACATAAAACATCATTTGCACCCACAAAAGTAAATGTGCAATTATCTGAACTGAAACTATCTGATTAGCAAAAAATGGATAATTTTAAATAAAGACTAATAAATGTGAATATTGAACACAGGACTGTTGTTCTGTGGCACATTTATTTTGTGGTCTCATTAACACAATATTACATAAAGTAGTGGAACGTTTCTAGATTTTATAGAAGTCATTTTAAAGGATGATACTAGAATGACCAAACATGTGAAACATCTTTAAAAATATTGTACTAAATGTCACTATTTAGGATCAGCTACTTAGCAAGCACTCTTAATTAATAATTGCCAATGCCTATTGATGGAATTGGCTCCTTTTTTTATTCTTCCCTAGGACCAGTTGTGTGAATTATAAAAATTATTACATATAACTTTAAGATGTATCATTCAGTAAGAAAATAACAAGCCATTATTCATTGTTTAATTATATGATTACGCTATTTACAGTAAATGTAAAATGTATTTTATGGAAGTAGAAATCAGCATATAAGACTCTATAGTATATTTATCACACCTAGGGAAAAAGCCAGACTATTTCAGTTTTCTGTTTAAAAAGATATCTTCTCAATTCACAAGAAATCTATAAAAGTAACTGTTAAACATATGAATAAATGTTCGACTCATAAGAAATGCAAATTAAAACTACACAAAAAGATGCTATCTCTCTCCTATCAGATTGGTGAAAATTAAAAAGACTAACAATACTCTTTTTCAAGGTTATGGAGACATAGATACTTTCACATATTGCTGGTGGGAAAGAAAATTGGTACAACCGTTACGACTGAAATTTAGCAGTATCTAAAGAAATTACATATTTGTTTCCATTTTGACCCAATAATCCCACTTCTAGAAATTTTTCTTGAGCATACATTTCCAATAATATGAAAATACATATACATAAGATTGTTACTGAAAAATATTGGAACAACGCAAATGTTGAATAAACTATGGGCATTCTTTCTTTTAAAAAAAGAACGAGGAAGATATTTACTAATGTGGAGTCATTTTCAGGATATTCATAAGCACAGCTTTGCCTCTGGCAGCTAATTAATATGTGTATGGTAGGTTAAAACTTTTTAAAAATGTATAATTCATTGATTTTTTTTCCTATTCTAAGAATAGAAAAAAAAAATTCCTTTTTAAAACAAATTTTATCTTCATAATTATATTTTCTTTTTCTTTTTAAAAAGTCCCTTGATTTGTATAAACTTCTGGCTACACAAAATGTGGATTTTCTTCAGACTTGTGGACTATAGTGTGTAAATAAAATATATATTGTCTTTTAATTGATTTTTCTACTAGGTTTTCCACCAAAACTACTCTAAAGCACTTTTCTCTAAAGCAGCATTTCCCAAACCTAACTGAGCATCACAATCAACCGTGTACCTTTAAGAAAAGAAAGATTTCTGGGCAATGTATAAGTCTGGATGCCGCTCAGAAATCTGCATTTTCCCAAAGCTCTGTCACTGATTCTGTACATCACCCAAGTTTAGAACCTCTGCTGAGAGCGTGTTTGCAAAATGGGGAAAGAAGTGGATTGGTTTTGCTCCGTATTTTCGGTTTAGAAGTTTGTGGTAATTATCAATAATTTTTTTCAAGGCTTAACTATTTGACCAAGCGTTTTTCATTCTTGAAATTGGAGGATTTTAAGAAAAAAAAACAAACAGTAGTGAAGAAATTTACTTGCCTGGCACAGCAGTTTGTGCAACGCTGCCTGCACTTGAAGCCATGGCCCAGGATCGATTCCTGACTCTGATACATCCATGGCCTGTTGAGTCAGCAAGGCTCTTAATGTCGCATCTGGTTTCTCCTCTGTAAAATGTGTTCAGTTCTGTCTTTTTCACATAGCAATGAGGATTAATGAAGAGATACAATATAAAATGTTCTTATAAACTAGTATTATAGTTCTGAACACAGTTTTTATTATGTATTTAAAGCCTAATTGTGTCTCCATTTATTATAATTTTTTAAAGTTTAATTCTACATTTAGACTATATCATTTTTTACATTACCTTCTTCTTATCATCTATCTATCAATTTTTCTAACATCTATCTATCATCTATCTATCTATCTATCTATCTATCTATCTACCTACCTACCTACCTACCTACCTACCTACCTACCTATTATCTATCTATCATCTATTTATGCCACCATCTTCCCTTTGAATTAAAACAAAAATAAACTTAGGTAACTTGGGAATACCATGTTTGCCCTTATTAATGCTACTGTCGGCATCAGGCAACTCGCAGGTTTTTTGGTGGAATCTTATACGGAATATGTAAGGCAATATAAAATAGCTCTCCTGTGGATGAACAGGAGCTCCACACTTCTTTAAAAGGCAGATGAATAATTATTTTCCATATGATCTAATATAAACATTTACATCTGTTAAATATATCTTTCATAAATTCTGGCAGAACCAAATACAATTTAGTTATTTTATTATGTAATTGCCTTATTTTCTGATGCATATTGTGTGTTGTTATTTCAGAAAAACATACCGAGTAAAATCATATTTATCTTAGATAAATACATCCTGTATATTTTAATAAAGCGATAGAAGTCATCACAATAATTTAAAAACCACATATGCTTGAGAAAAATGCCAAAGGGAAGAAAATTAATTTTGATTTTGGTACTATGTTTCCTAAGCTGGAACAGAATCTTGAATTACCAGTGGCACTCACACCTCTTCACTACCACCGTTAGCAATTCTTCATCTACTTCTGGAGTTTATAAAAGCACAGGATATCAGAGAGACACCAAATTCATATATAACTCCAGATGCAGTGTTATGAAAATGATTCATTAATAAGCAATTTTCAGACCTCCATGATGAAACGTGGAGTCCAAATCAGTTCATAGAAGGTGGTTGTCAATCTTCTATATTTCTCTTCACATTTCTCTTATTTTAAATATCTTCAAAGTAAAATCATAACTATAATTCTATAGCACATTTCAAGCTGAGGGCATTATGTTAATTTATTTATCATCTAATCATCTTCTATATTCTGGTTCTTTGAACAGGTGGTTTTCACACTTTTTGATTGAAAGCACCTATAAGAAATACATTTTAAATCCTAACATAGTATACAAACCAACCTACAAGAAACACGCACATATACAAAAACAAAATTTTTTAAATAATACATTCCTTATTATCATAATTTTTATTTTTTTTCCTTCTATTCTATGTTTATAAAATACTGGTCACTCAATTAAATTTATTTAACATTTCACCGATGTGCTGCTGGAAAAATTGCCTTATCAGTAATATTCAAAATCATTTGGAGAGCTCAGTTTGGCAGCAATATACTAAAATGGGAACGAGCAGAGAAGATTAGCATGGCATCTGCATAAGAATGACACACTAGTTTGTGAAGTAGTTCATATTTTAAAAAATAAAACTGTCCATTGATGGATAAATGGATAAACAAAATGTGGTATATACAAACAATGGAATATTATTTACCTTTTAACAGAAAGGAAATTTTGATACATGCTACATGAATGAATCTTGAAAATATTATGCTAAGTGGACTAAGCCACTCTCAAAAAGGCAAATACCGTATAATTCCACTTGTATAAGATAAGTAGAGTAGTCAAATTCATAGAGACGGAAAATAAAATAGTGGTTGCCAAGAGCTGGGAAACAGAGAAATGGAGAGTTATTATTTAATGTGTATAGAGTTTCTGTTTGTAAGATAAAAAGAATTCTGGAGATGTATAATGGTAAAAGTTGCACAAAAATTGAATAGATTTAATGCTACCAAAATTTACACTTAAAAATGGTTAAAATGGTAAATTTTATTTTATGTATATTTTACCACAGTTACAAAAAAAAAAAATTTAAATTACTTGAGGAAACAAAGATTCCATTGGTACACAACAGATTTACTGAATTAGAGATAGGGACCCTGAATCTGGGAATTTTTAAGAGCTACACAGGTGACTCTGATGCAAAGTAGTTTGGGAACCACTGCTTTAGAATATAACTATGACTTTCTCTTCCAGCACTCCAAATTTTTCCCCATTTCTCTGAGAAACAAAGAATGTGGGACAAGACCCTTCAGAAGCCTAACTTTGATCTTGATCAGGATTTAAAAAAAAAAACAATTACGAATTTTTCAAGCGAGACACTATTTAGAGTACATGATTATGGGTATGGATATTGAATAAAGAGAAATAAATTTTTCTAGAAGAGACAAAAAAATAATTTTAAAACACACAAGGCCAAAAGCTCATTGTCCTATTTCTTTGTAGTCATATTCAAGGTCTTCTCTCTATTGAAAAAAATCTACTGTCCTACTCTGTTTAGGCTGGCTGCTATACCAAAGTACCAGAGATCGGGTCACTTATAAACAACAAATCTTTATGTGTTCTACCAAGCTACTTGAAAACAAACAAACAAACAAACAAACAAACAAACATTTACTTCTTACAGTTCTGGAGACTGGGAAATCCAAGATCATGGATTCAATGTCTGGTGAGAACCTGCTTCTGAGATCCATCTGCCATTGAATGGCAGATTCAATGTCTAGTGAGAACCTGCTTCTGAGATCAAATCTTTTCTCTGTAACCTCGCATGAGGAAGGGGTGAGGGAACTCTCCAGGGTCTCTTTTAATAAGGACACTAATTCCACTCAACCGGGCTCTGCCCTCGTTACTTAATCACCTTCCAAAAGCCCCACATTGGAATACTATCACTGGTCATTAGGATTTTACATATGAATTTTGAGGGGACACAAATATTTGGACCATAGCAGCTACCATTTTTCGCCTTTTTATATACTATGTCCTTTACATATATCAATTTATCTAAATCATATTTCCCAATTAGGAATAACATTTTTTATTTTAAAGATGAGGAAATAGGGGCTTAGAGATATGAATACCTTGCTCAATGTTATAAAGTTTGTACTTGGTGGAAACAACATCTACCTGGCTCCAAACCTTTAGTCTTTTTGTCGCTACCCTGCTTCTCCTCATGGTTACATTCCATTTTCCCACACACAATACAGTGGAGTAGACCTCATTATTGTCATTTTAAAAATAAGAAAAGAACCTCAGGGAGATGACTTTATGAAGGTCAGACAGGAAGCTTTCCACATTTTTTGATTTATTTCCATCCATAAAATAAAGCTATTTTACTTCTGAGAAATATATTGAAGAAACCAAATAAAATTGAATGTCATAAAAATAACATAAGAATGAATAAAATCTTGGTTAATAAGAAAGTTCCAAGCAGCTATGGTTAATTGAAGGTTAACTAGAGGCTCCTTTTTGTTTTAACCTTTAATGTTAAATATCTTTTCAAAATAGATTGAGCCACATCCTGGTTTATGTAAATTTAGTTTAATGAACACAATTAAATCTTTCTTTGAGGTTTTTGTTTGTTTTGTTTTTTGCAACTTCTGTATATCCTTGCAGATGTAGCTCACACGGAAAATTGATTTGAATTTTTTGATGGAAGACATGAAAGAAATTAAAAAGTGGCTCTTTTGACCAATTCTCTAAAAGGATCTTGTATGGTCTCTTTCCTTAAAATAAAGCACCAAAAACAGTTCCAGGTCTGGTTTGTTTGTTTGTTTGTTTGATTCGAGGAGGTTGGTCAATAGAAGATAATTATATATTTGAACAGTACTCTATGCCCTTCTTCCTCCAAATGGAATATTTAGTTTGGAAAACTATTAACATTTTTCTGCTTACATAGGGGTATATACATATATCAAGGAAAGGTGCATTTATAATACTGTAGATTGCTTGGAGATTTAAAAAATCTCCAAACTTCTTCACTTATTAGGAAAAAAAATTAAAGGTACAGATTTCTCGCAGGAAATCAGTGAAATCTCTACTCCGAACATTTGACCTCAAGCTCCCTTTGCCCAGCCTGACACTCATCAAAGTTCTCTTTATGCAGCACCTATCAACCTTACTATTTCAATGACAGACATTTGTTGAAACAGAGGAAAGAATAATTTGACGTGCGAATGAGTTAAATCATAATCACAGACACATACCAGAAGTGGCTACTACACGTGTTTTGAGTGTCTTTATTGGCTAGTCAACACTATAGTCATTATTAATAAAATAATATTAGAAATAGATTTTATTGCTGAAACTAGTGATTTTAAAAATAGAGACTAAACTACTTTAGGAACATTTACTCTATCACAGAATATAGTTTAAGAATCTAACCAGACATTTACCTTTAAGAATGGCACCCTACATTTGATTCCCATGGAGGCTTCTATCTAAACACTAAATTGGGGTTATTGGCTTCCCAACTCTAACCAGTTAGTTAGCTGATTCCTATTGCTATAGTATTTCATTTGTCTTGAGTGAAACTTCATTCTAGGTGCAGGATGAAACAAATAAACAAACAAACAAACAAACAATGCTAAGACTGGGTAGAGCTTGTAGAACTATTTTGTGTATGTTTGCTAATAAATTACTGTGTTTGCTGAAGAATATCATTTTTAATTACTTAAAAAGCTTGCTTTTTTTTTTTCTTAGAAAGATGATAATAAAGCAGTATATAACCTCCTCCTGAACAGGCATGGTTACCTGAGAGAAGCTGAGAAGCTACCGCAGTCAATGTGGAAAGCTACCTGAAGTTCTGATGCATACAATCATCTTAGAGAAAAGAGTAGAAC